ATATAGAGACATAATTATTTCAATTATTTTTCATTTTGTAGATATATGGAGAGAAATTGTACTGCTGCTTTGCAACAAGAGGAATTCGATCAAGAAATCGAATACGATGAAGATGGTCATCCTATTGTACCACCAGAGAAGACTAAAATTGATCCGTTAACTCCGATTGATAATAACGAAATGAGTTACGAGTAATTTGCGAAGAATTTTTGCAATGTGCATGAAGAAATTGAAAGTTTAAGCAAACAACAGATTGATGATCTGAGGAAAACTCTCGTAATAAAGGTTTCGAGAAACATTACATATGTTGTATTCAAGTTGGAATACAACTTGATAAAGTTATATAATATATAACGTTAAGTTATATAAAAATTATATTAAGTTATATAAAACTTATATTAAGTTATATAAAAATTATAACATAAGAAATAATAAAAAATATTTTTCCAAGCATATATATTATTAATTTATAAACGATTCAATGGGCATTTAAAGGCGTACATACGCCATTCAATTAAAAAACCTACGAAACGGCAGGCTCTGCACACAATCTGCCGTCAGTCTGCCGTCAGAGTCTGTCAGCAGGCTCTGCGCGCAATCTGCCGTCAGAGTCTGTCAGCAGGCTCTGCGCGCAATCTGCCGTCAGACTGCCGGCAGAGTCTGTTAACAGACTCTGACGACAGTCTGGGGCCGCAGATGTCTATGGATCTGCCATCAGGTCCTGCTCGAATTCGACAGACTCTGTCGGCAGTCTGACGTTAGTCTGCGCACAGATTGCTTACTGGGTCATTGACAATTACTTATTATCCAGTATTTTTAATACTGAAAATAAGTAATTATCAATGATTCTTAGTATGATATTTCTATAAGGGAATTATGAAAAATTATGAGAAAATCTTCTACCAATGATTTAATTGAAGAACCTACGAAACGACAGGATCTGCGCGCAATCTGCCGTCAGACTGCATACGGCAGGATCTGCTTCGTTTCTGCTGTCAATCTGCCGTCAGACTGCACACGGCAAGATCTGTTCCGATTCTGTCGCCAATCTGTCGTCAGGTTGTTAAGTAGGTTTTGTTTAAATTCTACTATCAGTCTGCTATCATACCTGTTTAACAGATCTTATCTAAATATTACTGGCATTCTGTTGAAATTATTTTATACTATAGAGCCCGTAACAATTCTAACGCCATTCTGCCTACAAAATCTGCAACAGGCGTTTGACAAAATCTGTTTCCAGACTTAGCTATTAGGGTGGTCTTTATCCTGAATTATCCTTTATCATTAAAAACGTCTCAAAATGATGATTTATAATCTTTCTAATTGACTTATAAATACATTTAACCCGCGTTGACGGGACTAACATTAGTGGGCGCGTATCGGTCATTTCAAGTGAAATATATTTAAGGCTCCTGGGGAGTCGCATCATCCATCTCTTTTTAATGACGTCAGAAGCGAGAAAACGCATGCTAAAAATTCCTGCAAAATACGTCGAGATAAACAGATATATCCACAAAACGACATTTGCGATCGATTAAGTACATCTCTAAAATACTCCGTACACTTTCCTTTTGTTCTAAAAATCAATAGATAATCGGAAAATTAATATGACAAGATAATGAGGAAATTAGGTTAGAAAAGACGATTGCACGTCACATTTATTTTATAATTATCTGTTGATTGTTAGAACAAAAGGAAAGTGTACGGAGTATTTTAGAGGTGTACTTAATCGATCGCAAATGTCGTTTTGTGGATATATCTGTTTATCTCGACGTATTTTGCAGGAATTTTTAGTATGCGTTTTCTCGCTTCTGACGTCATTAAAAAGAGATGGATGATGCGACTCCCCAGGAGCCTTAAGCACATATATGTATAATAATTAAGTAATAATTAATAAATTATCAATCCAATTATTAAAAAAAACATAATAATTGAAGGAAATAATTTTATTATATCACTATTTCGTCTTTTCCCCCTCTTTTTTTCTCTTTACTATTTTCATATCTAATACGTTTAGGAAATATATTAAACTTATTATACATATGTGAATATGTTAAAAATAAAATCTTAATATTTTATTTTAACTGCATTAGTAAAAAATGACATTCTTTTAGTTTAATAAAATAAAATAAGAATTTTTTGCTTCTCTCGTTTTGATTTGATTAACTTAAACATTCATTTAAATTTGAAAATTTATTTGATAAATTTATTTATCAAATAAATTATTATTTATTATTTTAGAGAATAAATCTTCTTGATTCAATGGCAATATTAAATCTATTACATTATGTATTGTTTCAATAATTCAAGTATTAATTTTAATAATATTGCTATTGAATCAAGAATATATACTCCAATTACGCGTGCTGTTGAGAATTTTATTTGATTCAACAAAAAAAGAGAGAACCAACTATGATGTCGAAAAAGACAATAGACATTCGGCGACATATCGAGCGACGTTGACGCCGCAGAGATAAAAGACTAACGTTAGTGGGCGCGCTATAGTCTTTTAGACCAACTACTACAAACGTATCAAATTTCACATAGAAATAAGCACGTCTATGCCGTCTACTTCTCCATACTATACGAAGAAACATCAAAGAAAATTTACTTAAAAACAAAAATACAATAATGTTAATAGATTAGATGATATAAATAGAAAACGAAAAAGTACGGGAAAATGACTAATACGCGCCCACTCCTGGATTAAAAGCACTTTTATCGGTAAAAGACCCTTATAGAAATATCATACTAAGAATCATTGATAATTACTTATTATCCAGTATTTTTAATACTGAAAATAAGTAATTATCAATGATTCTTAGTATGATATTTCTATAAGGGTAGAATTCAGAATAAGGACCCAAATATATTTTAGAAAATATTCTACATTTTTTTACTGAACGAATAATAATACAAAAGTTAAGATAACAATTATAAAAGTTGATGAAAAGATTTATTTTATTCTATCAATTTTAACCTTTAGGCTGCCGGCATTTTTTCATTAAAAAAGTGGTTTCTTTTTCTCAAAAATTTTTCTATATAAGTAACATACATATGGCGTAGAATTTTAAGATTTACGCAGAGCCACAAAAGTGGCTTTCCCGGCAATCTAAAGGTTAATCAATATATTTACATGTTTTTATCCACTAATGCTTCGTTATTGAAAGGTAATTCGCAAAAAATGCTCATTAAATCACTCTTATCGTATTCACATTCAATGTTTTCTGATTTTTTGTCAGAAGATATGCTCTGAAAGTCCTGCGGAATAAAAATTTTTCCATCAGATATGTATTTATTATCATTTTCGGAGAAACTCTGCAGATCGGCCCAACGCATCGCCACGTTCTTGCACGCGCATTTCCTAAACACCAGACAATGTATGTGACGCAGCTTTTCGTATTTAATTCTCATAAATCCCAATTTGCTCAGCATATACCTCCAGGATTTCATGAGCTTCGCGTTCGCACCGACGTGCTTCGAATCTGGACTCACGATAATCAACACGCCGCCGCTTTTTAACACGTCGTAGGCATTTCTACAACAGACATATCTTTGCCTAGGACACGGTAAATATTCCAGTAATAGGGAGAACACCACAGCGTCAAATGAATTAACGGCAAACTGACAGAGCTCGCGCTCGTCCTGTGAAAGAATCTCTTCTTCCCCGATCGTGACATTCAGAAAATCGCATCGAAGAACCGCGTTCGTCGCGGGAGTCAAGTCTATCGCGGTGACATCAAATATATCTTCGTTACTGAGAGGATTGTAACAACTTCCTACATCTAATAGCGTTATTTTTCGCTTATATGTATTTTGTAGTCTTCCTTCTTTATAATCACAGTTATCTTTGGAGATTTGAAGATTTTCACTGTTTAATTCACCCAGAGTCATTTTTATACTTATATCTCGCTCTCGTACATCGTATTTCTCTTTGCCGCCGTTGAGAAAATATTCCTTGCACTGAAATTTTATCCATTCAATTCTGCAGTATGTGCCGCTCCTTGGATTATTCTGCATCCAAAATTTAGTAGCTAATTTTTGCATGGATGCAGCGTATTTCTAAAAAAAAAAACAAAATTACTTTTTCAAAAAAAAGAAGTCAAGTGCACGCGCGTTAGCATTACTATTGAAAAATACAAGACAATTTTATATTCTTTACAAAAGTAATGATATCAAGAGGTTTACGCCAAGTACGAATGATTAATCATTTCAGTTTTTACTTTTATAAATATATATGGTTTTGGATACATATTTATAAATTAAATATATTATTAATATATTAGTAATATATTATTCGCATCTTCCCAGACAGCATAAAATCTCCTGAGGACGTCCTAAAAATAAAAAAGGCCTGGATATAAAGGGAGGATCCCGTTTGCCTACAAATTAATTGTCTACAGTATCGATTGTTGACATTCAACTTATCCACATTTCATTTGCACACAAAAATTATTGCCTACAGAACAATTACCTATAAGTTGTATTACGCACAAATAAAAAATTAAAAGCTGAACGCTCGTTTGCACACACGACACTTGCGCACAAATTACATTGCACACATAATATTATTGCCTACAGTATGATTGCCTACATGCTCTATTGCGCACAAATAAAAATTAAGAGACGAATGCACGTTTGCGCACAAAAATTATTGCCTACAGTAAGATTGCTTACAAGTTCTATTGCGCACAAATAAAAAATTAAGAGACGGACGTACGTTTGCACATACCAAACTATTGCGCACAAGCCACATTGCGCACATAATATTATTGCCTACAATACGTTTGCCAACAAGTTCTATCGCGCACAAATAAAAAATTAAGAGACGGACGTACGTTTGCACACACCAAACTATTGCGCACAAGCCACATTGCGCACATAATATTATTGCCTACAATACGTTTGCCAACAAGTTCTATCGCGCACAAATAAAAAATTAAGAGACGGACGTACGTTTGCACACACCAAACTATTGCGCACAAGCCACATTGCGCACATAATATTATTGCCTACAGTACGTTTGCCAACAAGTTCTATTGCGCACAAATAAAAATTAAGAGATAAACGTACGTTTGCATACAAAAATAATTGTCTACAAGCTCTATTACGTACAAATAAAAAATTAAAAGCCGAACACTCGTTTGCACACATAATATGGTAATTATTTAGTTTAGCGGCTACACCTCCGATTTCAATGAAAATAGGCTCAATCGACGCGTTTTTACATGCCAACAACTTTTTCCTCTGACAAAATCGTCGCTCTCTACTACGAAGCGAGATATTAATAGACAAAGTTGAGGGCGCGTTAGGTTAGAAAATCTGTCATACCATCCTTCCTTCCTTCCTTCAATATTTGGCTACAGGCCTCTCTAAGAGTAATGCCCCAACGATCTGCGCGCAATCTGCAGCCAATCTGCCGTCATAGTCTGTCGACAGACTCTGCGCGCAATCTGCCGCCAGTCTGTCGTCAGAGTCTGTTCGCAGACTCTGTCAACAGTCTGGCGCCATATTGGGGACGCAGATGTCTATGGATCTGTCGACAGATCCTGCTCGGATTCGACAGATCCTGTCGACAGTCTGACGTCAGTCTGCGCGCAGATTGCTTACTGGGTAAGTAATAATTTTTGTGTGCAAATGAAATGTGGATAAGTTGAATGTCAGCAATCGATACTGTAGGCAATTAATTTGTAGGCAAACAGGACCTTCTCGATATAAAAGCGCATAAATCAGATTCATCGTATATAATTGATTTAGCGATCTTTTTCATTTTTAAGAAGCTTTTTGGCAATTATGTTTATCGCATCAAGAGAGAAATCCCTTAAGAGTTGTAGCGCAAAAATCGAAATTGCCTAGATATAAGAGCGCATAAATCGTAGATTCATCGTACATAATTGATTTAATGATCTCTTTCGTTTTAAAGGGATTTTATGGCGATTTTGTTTTTCGTGTCAAGAGAGAAGTCCCTTAAGGGTTGCAGCGCAAAAATAGAATTTGCCGGAATGTAAGAGCGCATAATTAGCACATAATTCCTATCTATTTGTTTTGCTGAAAAAGTAATTATTTATAAGTGAGGGGACTAACTGGCAGCCCATCTAGCCTCCCTAAAAAAATTTTAATTTTATCGTAACTAAAAGAGCGCAAAATTTTTGCGTTTCATTTTCGAAGAACGCATAAATAGTGCATTATTACATATCGTCTGCGTTCATTTTGCATTAAGTGGCGGGGG